CCCCGAACCTCGATGATCTACCTCTGCGGTGCGACGGGTGCGAGACGGTCTCGTGTGTGGTCGGATCATGCTCGGATCATGGGCGGATCATGCTCGGATCGGTTCCGCATTGTAAATGGGTTTCACCTGTTTTTCGTGCATGTGCGGTCGACAGAATTCCATTGTGATTTGCAACTGTAGGATCGTTCCCGCAATGTAAATGGGATTGCAAGTGGTGCTGGTGGATGAGTTGCCGATGGAATTCCATTGTGATTTGCAACTGTAGGATCGTTCCCGCAATGCAAATGGCATTGCAAGTGGTGCTGGTGGAGGAGTTGCCGATGGAGTTTTGAAGGAAATGCGTTTTTGAGAGATAGCAGATGCACGAAACCCTATGTTTTTCCATACAAAGTCCGTCCCCGAACCTCGATGATCTACCTCTGCGGTGCGACGGTTGCGAGACGGTCTCGTGTGTGGTCGGATCAAGGGCGGATCATGCTCGGATCGGTTCCGCATTGTAAATGGTGTTTCAACTCTGTTTCGTGCATGTGCGGTCGACAGAATTCCATTGTGATTTGCAACTGTAGGATCGTTCCCGCAATGTAAATGGGACTGCAAGTGTTGCTGGTGGATGAGTTGCCGATGGAATTCCATTGTGATTTGCAACTCTAGGATCGTTCCCGCAATGTAAATGGGATTGCAAGTGTTGCTGGTGGATGAGTTGCCGATGGAATTCCTGTGCTTTGCAACTGTAGGATCGTTCCCGCAGTGTAAATGGCTGTGTCAAGGTTGCTTCGTGCTGTGGCTGCATTGGTAATACTATTGTCTTTTGCAGCTGGACTTCGTAAATCGTATTAGAGTGGCTGCATGAAGGCTGCGACAGTGATTTGTCAGCAGATTTTCTCCATTTTGGCGCTAGTGATTTTCCTTCTAAAAATCCTTTTAAAAAGTGCTTCAAAATCGTCTTTTTTTCGCTCTAGCGTCGAGGGGTTTTGGAGCTACAATTTCCGACGCCGTTGCGCGTAGTTCTATTGTGTTTTGCAACTCAGTTTCTGCAGATTGCATTGTAATGGCTGCGTCAAGGTTGCTTCGTGCTGTGGCTGCATTCGTAATACTATTGTCTTTTGCAGCTCGACTTCGTAAATCGTATTGGAGTGGCTGCATGAAGGCTGCCACAGTGATTTGTCCTTTTTTTTTGAGGAAACCCTCAAATTGCACCTACTCTGTTTTTTCTTCCCAATCTTCCGAGTTCCAACCAGATTTTTCGGCATTTTTGCTCCGCTTTTGACGGAGGCGATCCAGTTGGACGTCGATGAAGAGAATCTGCCTGCCTTGCGGCTGTTTTTTGGCGATCGGTGGAGGTTTCCGTGGAGGTTTCAGAAGTCATGGGGGTACCCCCAGTCGTCACAATGGGTTTCCATACAAAATGATCCATGACGACTGAACGGTTTGGGGTAGGCCTATGACTTAGGACTTAGGACCCCCCAAGTGCAATAACTTGCTGAAAACTGTTGGCTTGAGAATATAGCTTTTTGTAGTTCATGGGGTTATAAACCAACATTTGCCTGCATGGGCCCACATTGTGGGATTGATTCATCTCCCCATGGGATTAATATGATAAATCCGGACTTGAAGTTTTAACCCATAGGACTTGTTGGGGAAGCTGATGATTAGCCACTAGATTTTGGGAGGCCACAGTAGCTGAAAAATTGATGACCACGTTGATATTGGGGAAATGATGATTAGTCACTGGAATTTGTGAATAAAACCACAATCATACTGCATATGAGACGGGTTTTCGCGTTTTTGTCTGGGATTTGGGGGATTTACTGTACATGGATTTAGCCTCAATTCATGGCCATGTTGATGTTTTGGACATGATTTTTTTTGCTG